ATGACGCCCACACTCCCCTCTTCGCGCCCTTTCGCCTCCGAGGCCGCCCACATTCGGCCGTGGCATCGAGTAGCCTCATCAGACCACGCCCACGCTCGTCACACTACATCTTCACACCAGTCAGAGCCACGCCCACGGTTAATAAACTAGCCAGACCACGTCAGTTCCGTTCCCTCCCTCCCCCTCCTTCACCCCCCCCCCCCCACTTTAGCCTTCTCCTCCTCCTCCCTCTCTCTCTCCCTCACCCCCCTCTCTCTCTCCCTTCCCTGCCCGCCTGCCTTGCCCCCCCCCCCCTTCCACCCCTTCCTTGTAAATTGCCCTCTTCTCCCCTCCCCCCCCTCCCCCTCCCCAGATCCCTTCCCCTCTCCTACACCTCTTCTTGCTCTCTTCTCCTCTTCTCTGTTTTTATTCTTCTCGTGTCCCTTCTTTTCTTTTTCTTCTCTCCTCCATCTCTCTCTCTCTCTCTCTTCTTTCTCCCTTTCCTTTCCCCTTCCTTTACTCTCCCTTCACTCCCTCTTTCTCCTCCTTTCTTCCCTCGATCGTCCTTATCTCCGTCTTTCTTCCATCCACCATCTACGCTCATCTACGCTGGTTTAAATTGTCTTCTTTTCTCCTTTTTTCTCTTTTTTCGTGGCTGTATATTTACTATTTTTTTATTATTATTCTGCGATTTGCTCCTTCTTTTAAATTTCCCGAAGGCGAGGCGGAAGTAGCAGTGATAAAGGAGATAAGGAGGATGGAAGGAGAAGCCCCCTCTCCCCCCCCCCCCCCTCCTGCATTTTGCAATGGGTCGGCGATTTTGATTACGTTAGTGGTATTGGTAGTTAGTCTAGTAGTAGCGTTAGCAACGTTAGAAGTGTTTAGTTACAACGTTAGCATAGTAGTATAGTTGTAGTAGCAACGTTAGAAGTGTTAGTTAGTAGTTAGTGTTAGTAGTTAGTAGCAACGTTAGTAGTGTTAGTAGTTAGTAGTTTATTAGTTAGTAGCTACGTTAGAAGTGTTAGTAGTTAGTAGTGTTAGTTGGTAGTAGCAACGTTAGAAGTGTTAGTAGTTAGTAGTGTTAGTAATTAGTAGTTGGTAGGGACGGCGAAAGATCCCCGACCGCAGCGCCAGTGATAACAGTAGCGGTATTGATGATAACAGCTGGTGTAATGACAGGAGATAGGGATAATGAGGGTAATTACACCGACAGCCAGGGAGGGCATGTATGATGAGAAGCGATGATAAGGATAATGGGAAAAGGATTAAAGAGACACGCGCCTTTTCCTTCTCCTCCCACGCACGACCCCTCGCCCCCTCTCCCTGCTCCCCCTTTCTACCTTTGCTTCCTCCTCTTGCTCTCTTTGCCTTTCCCTCTTCCTATTTTTACCCTTCTCTTCCTCCTCCTCTTCGCTCTTTCTTCCTTTTATTCTTTCCTCTCTTCCTTCCTTTACCCTTTCCCCTTCCCTCCTTAACTCCCTCTTCCCACTTTCCCTTTACCTTCCTCTCTTCCTCTTCCTTCCTTTACCCTTCCCTCTTCCTCCTTTACCCTCCCTTTCCTCTTCCTCCCCTCCCCTCCCTCTCCTCCCCTCCTCCTCCTCCTCCTCCTCCTCCTCCTCCTCCTCCTCCTCCTCCTCCTCCTCCTCCTCCTCCTCCTCCTCCTCCTCCTCCTCCTCCTCCTCCTCCTCCTCCTCCTCCCCTTCCCATTGCAATTAAAATAAACAGGGAAAGTGTCCCTGGGAGGTCCCCAAGGACAGCGATCATGGCTTAGATATTAGGACCGTGTCAGATGTGTCGCACGATGGCGGGGATCACATGACACGGGCGGGTGATTTATGACACCGTGTCACGTGAAGGCAGGAGCTCGCTCGCGGTGGGCGCTGTGGGGGACCCGCGGCGGGGGAGACACACGCACGCGCGCCGTCGCTTGTTCTTTGGTTGTTCTTGGGGCGTGTTTCTGGCGAAGGGGGTGGGGGGGGGGGTGGGGGTGGGGAGCACGTGGGTTTGGTTGGGGGGGTGGTGTTGCATATGTTGGTTGTTTTGTTTTGTTGTTGTTGTTGGTGTGGTTGTGGTTTTGTTGTTTGTGTTTGTTGTGGTTGTTGTGTTTGTTTGTTGTTGTGTTGTTGTTGTGTGGTTGTTGTCGTTAGTTTTTTTGTAGTTTTGTGTTGATTTTGTTGTTGTTGTTGGTTTTGTTGTAGTTGTCGTTATTGTTGATATTCTGTTATTGTTCTTGTTCTTGTTATCTTCGTGATTTATCTAAAACTATCACAAATACCGCTGCTGTTTTTCCTTTTTTAATTACTCGGTAATGATGATCCCGATTATATAATGACAGCATCTCGAAAGGAAAAAAAAAAAGAAACTCCAAAAGAAGCGAAATTGTCAAGGAAAAAAAAACCGGGGGAAAAATGTAAAAAAAAAAAAAAAAAAAAAGAAAAAAAAAATCCATAATTAGGAGGATAATGAAGACACTGATAATGAGGGCAATTACGATGCATCAACAATGGCAGCGGCAGACGTGGCAGCGGACCGGCGGAGGATATCGCCAGCGCATCGATCGCCGGGCACGCAGGGGAAGGGGGGAGGGGAGGGGGGAGGGTGTCCTATACAACGGCAGCGAAGGTAAAGTGACATCGGTAGTGACAGCGGGAGGATAAGGATTGCAGTAGCAGCGGAAACAGCTGGAGCAGTGATGGCAAAACCGCCAGCAGAAGCAAAGTAATAATAACAACAGAAGCAACAGCAACAACAACAACCAGCACAACAGCAAGCAACAAACAACAAAACCAGCAGAAGCAACAGTAACAATAGCAACAACAACAACAATTACCAGCAAAAGCAACAGTAACAATAACAACAACATTACCAGCAAAAAGCAACAGTAACAACAGCAGCAGCAGGAGCAACAGCAGCAGCAGCAGCACCAGTAGCGGAAAACCAAAGCCCGCGCTGTAATGATAACCATCGCCACCAGAGGCCCTCGTTAGGGCATTCAGACGCGGCGTGTAAATACCACCACATACCACCCGAGAGCGGCAACAATGGTAGCCCGCGGTGGTACCAGGCACGCGCGTGTCGTTAATTAATATAATGGTCGACGGGATCCAGGTATTGCTCGTGACCCTTGGCCTGCATGCGAAGGTACAGGCAGGCAGGCAAGCAGGCAGGCAGCAGGCAGGCAGGCAGGGCAGCAGGCAGCAAGCAGGCAGGGCTGGCAGGCAAGCAGGCGCAGGCGGCTAGGCTGGTTGGAAAGGGTGTGGTTGTCGACTATGGAAAGGGGGGAGAGGAGGGAGCTGCAAGAAGGAGGGGGGGAGGGGGTGGGGGAGGGGGCACAGGCCTATGCGCGTGTGTGCGTACGTGCGTGCCAGTCTACGTGACTGTATACGCTCGCTCGCGTGTGTGTGTGTTGCGCGTGTGGCTTCAGGTTTCCCGTAGATGCAGGGCATTGCCATAAAGCACCGCCATGCAGTGAGGGTTGCCATGCCCTTGTGAAGAGGAGGCGAAAAAAAGGACAAAGGACAGTAGAAAAGTAGCAGGAAGGGAAGAGGAAGAGAAAGGGGGGGAAGGAAATAGAGGGGCAGGATAAGGAAGAGGAGAGCGAGAAGGGAATTATTAATCAGACTGTGACATTTCGTCGGACAAAAGAATACCAAGGACGGAAGGTTATGCTGTGCGGGGGAGGGGAAAGTGGGGAGCGGGAGAGGCGGGGAGGATAGGGAGGGGAAAGGTGGGAGAGCAGGAGAGGCGGGAGGAGGAGGAGGAGGATAGGGAGGGAAGGGGAGGACGGGCAAGGGGTAGAGGAGGGAGGAGGGCACGAGGGAAGGGGAAAAGGGGAGCGAGGATATGTTCGAGAAGATAGGGGCGAGGTACACACGGCGGGAGGGGAGATAGAGGGGTCTGGCAGGGACAGTGAAGGGAGGGAGAGACAGACAGGCAAACAGGAGGGAGAGACGGACTCACAGACAAACAGGGGGAGAGACAGACAGACCGACAAACAAGGGGAGAGATAGACAGACCGACAAACAGGGAGACAGACAGACAGACGCACAGGGGAGAGATAAGACATACAGACAGACAAACAGGAGGTGAAGACAGACGTAGAGAAAAGAAGCAAATGCGGCAATAGCAAGAACATTGCAAAAAAACGGGAAAGAACGAAGGGAGTTTAACATCAGCACATCAGGGGCGCCAAAAAGAGGAAACGTGTTTTAGAACGTACACTCTCCCCTTCCTGCCCTCTCATTTTAGCCTTATCTCCCCCTCCTTTCCCTCAGTTCTCCTCCTTCCCCTCTTATACTCATTTTCCAACCCACCCCTTCCTCTTGCAGTCTAAGCGTTCCCTCTTTCTCCTCCCCCCCCCCATTCCAGCCCTACCCCCCCCATCCCCTATTATAACCCAACTTCCCTCCCTTCCTCCCCCTATTCCAGTCCTCCCTCGTGCGTTGTGTTAGCGGGGGGAAACAAGGAAGGAAGGGAGGGAAGGAGGAAAGCAAGGAAGAAAGAGAGGGAGATTGCAAGGAAGGAAGGGGGAAAGGAAGGAAGAAGGAAGAATGGTTAAAGAAGGAGGGAAGGGAGAAAGGACAGCAAAAGGTAGCGAAGAGATAGGAACATAAGGAGGGGCAACAAAGAGGTGAGAGATGGAAAGCGGAGGAAAGGGCGGAGCGAGAAGGAAGCCAAACATATAGTATGCGCAAAAGGGAAGCTGGACCCAGGGATGAATCTCTGGCAAAGACACGGCGAGGGAGGCTAAGGCGATGGAGGAAACGGGAGGGTGAGGAAGCAAGGATAGGAACGAGAGACGAGAAGGCAACTGCGGGCATAAAGGGACTGAGAAGAAGGAGGAAAGGGAGATAAGCAAAGCAATCGGCAAGTGTCAAGAGGAGGGGAAACGGCGGAGGGAGGGGCAGCGGGAAAGTGAGGAAAGGGAGGGAGTGAAGCAATAGGAAGGATGGAAGAGGATGGGAGGGAGCCAAGGGGTTCCTGTCGCGTGACTGGGTTCCCCTCCTCTCTAATCTTGAATGTGTAACAGTATTGGGTCACGAATTCGGCGGGATGTTAAAATTTGAAACAATTGGAGCGACTAGGTTAGCTTGTGCCCACCGGGGTAAGTTTTTTTCTAGTTTCTTTTCTTTCAATTTTT